GGGGGGGGTGCTGTCCTCCAATGTGAAAAGAACAGGTGTATCTGTCTATTACTTTAAGACCCTAAGGTGAGCTAACACTGTATCTCAACATTAAATTAGTGACTAACTCAAGGGTTTTAAATTGTATTTAACCACTGGAGCATGCTGTATTCCTAAATGAATAGTCAACCTCTTTGTGTGAAGTTAAAATTAAAACATTCCATTAAACACATGTGGTTTGCATACCCTTCTTTTGTGTGTATGGATCTGTACATGATGTGCACGCTGTCAGTGTCTTCCTTAACTGCTTCTCCCAATCTTTTCTTTTTTTGAGACAGGGTCTACAAGCCATGCTGGTCTCGAACTTGCCAGTGACCCTGAACTTCTAAACCCTTCTGCCTCCACCTCACAAGTGCAGAGATTACAAGGCTGTGCCGCCATTTCATGTTTTGAGACAGAGTCCCGTGTTGAATCTAAAGCTCATCTCAGTGATGATCTGTCTGCCACTCCAGTGCTGAGCCTATTAGGTGCGTGCACCTGCACCTGGGTTTGATGTGGGTGCTAGGGGTTCAAATTCATCCTCATGCTTGAGCAACACTCTACCTGCTGAGACATCTCTCCAGGTCCCTATCTTCCTTTTCCTGTATCATTTCAAGCTAACCAAGGATTCACCACCACAAAGTTTCACAATACTCTGTCAATACTGCAAAGGCTTTTTAGTAAATAATAGAGATCATATATTCACCTTTGAGTCTAAACTGGGTTTTTCTGAAACACTAATTTCTATGCATTCTTAGCAGGAATTGCTTTGAGGAAGAACATTTCAGAGAAAGGCAAAGAAGCTCAGTATGGAAACGAACTTGATCATACAGCAATTAACTGCTCAGGAGGAGAAAAGAGACAGACTGTGATACTTTCCCAACAATTCAATCACAAAGATACTTACTGGCTTGTTCCAAGACACTTCGAAGTGGAGGCTCCACTCTAGCCAGGAGATCATCACACATCTCCAGAAATTTGCCTCTAGGGAAAAAAAACAATAGGTTAAACTACATCCCACTTTTATGTGGAACAGAAAGCAGTCATCAAAACCTGAGTAAGAATAGGCAAGGGCAAAGATCTGGAAAACTAGACCCCTCACATGTGTTCCTGGACAATGAGAAAAGAGAAATGCAGTTCAGCATTTGCTCAGAATGGGTGATCCTGCAGCTCCACTGTAGGTACTATACATGTAGCTAAGGGCTGAGAAGTAAGGTCATGCAAAAACATGTACATGATGTGCATAAGCAGCAGCATGACTCATAGCGGTCAAAACAACACAAATGCCTGTCAACAGTACCAGAGATAAAAAGGAACCACTACGGGATGCATCAGGCTGGACCCTGAAAGTATCTGCCAGGTAGACACCAACAAAGAACATACATTACTTCATCTATATCAACTACTCAGGATGGCTAAACCCCAACAGAAGCTCAATTACCCAGGGATGGGAAGAGAACAGCAAGCCTCCAGAGGACTCGTAATCAGCTAGATTGCAGAGAAAGAACTTCCAGGTCTCACTTCTCACCTAGCCCAGTTCCTCTATCACCATCTTTTCAGCAGAACAGCGAATTGCTACCAGCAGTCTCTACCAGCCTGCTCCAGGTGAGGACAATCATGGAGGATCCATCCCTCGCTTCTCTGGGACCCATGGAACCACCAATCCTTTTTGGGTTTGGTTCATTTGTTTTTCTTAGGGCTTTGTTTTTGTGGTTTGGGTTCTGTGTGTTTGTTTAGGGTTTTTTTCTTGTTTTTGTTTTTTTTGAGATAGATCCCACTCTATAACCCAGGCTAGCATGGAACAATATGGTATCCCTGGCTGGCCTCAAACTCACGTTAAGTCCTCCTGTACTCACATACAAAACAACCTGTATGCACACACAGATAATCTTTTTAATTCTTAACAAAAAATATTTTTGCCGCCTTTAGTCCCTGTACTCGGGAGGCAGAGGCAGGTAGATCTCTGTGAGTGCAAGGCCAGCCTGGTCTACATAGCTGGAGCTACAGGGAGACCCTGACTCAAAAAAGACAAAATAAGTAATAAATTTTGCAAGCAGTAAAACCATTAAAAAGATACACTGAATACCTGGGCAAAACTGATACCCACCCCTCCCAAAAGAAAATCTAAGCTAGAATAGAAAAGTTGAAAAATTACAACTTTTAAGAAAATTACCAAAAGCTTTTGAGCATCCAGGCAAAATGAACAAGTAGCAAATGACTGTCACATCTGCCAGCAATGCTGTGACAGGAGAAAACAGATGACTCATTTTTAAGACATTCAAGAAGCTGGAGAGATGGCTCAGTAGTTAAGAGCACTGGTTGCCCATGCAGAGGACTCAAATTCAGTTCCCAGCACCCACATGGTGGCTCACAACTGTCTAACTCCAAGTCCGGGAGATCCAATGCCCTCTTCCAGCCTCTGTGGACACTGCATGCACATGTGCACTTACAAACATGCAAGCAAAACCCTGATACACAGTAAAACAATTTTTGAAAAGATAGTCAAGGAGTCTCAGATAGAGTGGTCATAATCCCAGCACATGGGAGATTTCATGAAAAAGGAAAATAGAGCATTCTAGGCTAGCCTGGGCTACCCACTGAGCTGTCTCAAACAAAAACACTTCAGGAGTGTTGTTCTGAATGAAGAGAATGCCCTTCCAACACAGTGACACAAACTAGTCGTAATCCACAAGGGTGACAATAGTCAGCAGCTGGACATGGTGGCACACACATTTAATCCCAGGACTCGGGAGGCAGAGGCAGGTGGAGCTCTGTGAGTTCAAGGCCAGCCTGGTCTACATAGTGAGTTCCAGGCATCACTCTCATACCAAAGCCTGGTAAAGATACAACCAAAAAAGAAAACCCCAAAGATAAGTTAGAATAAATACTGTAATGTCCAAAGTCTTCTGGTCTCATTAATTCAAAAACAAAGACTAGAGTTGAATATTCGAGACTAAAAATGAAGGCTATAAAATAGGAGCATGCAGCAGCTCTGTCCTCACACACACATTCAACTTGGGGTGGTTTTTTGTCAATGTTTGTTTGGGGTTTTGTTTTGTTGAGACAGGGTCTCTCCATGCAGACCTGGCTGACCTAGAAGCCACTAACTATATAGATCAGGTTGGTCATGAATTTAAAGAAATCACCTGCATCTGCCTTCTAAGTGCTGGGATTTAAAAGGTGTACACCACCCCACCCCCCACAGGTTTTAAAAGAATGAACACCCAAAAAAGCATACAGGCAAATCACATGTGAAATAGACACACACACACACACACACACTCTTAAGAGAATCTATTTAACTCTTATTAACATTTGACTAATAATTTCTAAACTACGTACTGGCCTACCACCAGTCTCCATCACACACAGACAGACATACACACACACTAAAGTATGCACAGGAGTGGGGGACGCTCAATGAAAAGGGAAGTCTTTATTTGCAAGCAGGAAAAAAGAATGAACAAAGGCAAACTTCGACACTAGTCAACAATAAATGCCATCTCAGATTTAAGAGTCATGCAGGCATAGTTCCCCAAACAAGCCATCAGTCTTGCCTGGGTTCTACCAGTAAGTTCACCGTCAAAAGAACATCTCACTACCTCATCCAAGCAACACGATCAGGCAACAATAAGAGTGTTTCTAAAATACTCCTAAATGTCAATTACGCAGAATTCCAGCAGTGCTGTTCAGAAAGAGCTACTGCCCTCAAATGTCCCTTAACTACTCAAAAAAGAACAATTTGTTAATAATGTTTAAATTAAATTCAACTTAATTCTGCATTAAAGCACTGTGCAACAGTTTAATAAAAACTGGTAATTTTGTGTATTATACTTCTATAAGTAAAGTATTAACTTCTAGGAACAAATGTTACCAGAACAAAAACTTAAACCTCCATTATTAGAATAACCATACCCAACTTCGTAACAATCGGGGTGTTGAGCGACCTGTAATTTCCACTGCTAACAACCACGACAATTTCAACAATTAGCTAAACAGAATCAATAGCGGGAGGTATCAGGTCACTTTACATTAAATACTATGTTACCTGTTCATGGTTCCAGACACGTCGATATCATTCATAAAGCACTCAATGCTCAAAGGAAGATCTGAAGCATTGGCACTCATCAGCTTCTTGAGTTTCTCACACTCTTGAGACAGTCGTAATAAAGCACGGATTTTAGATTTTATGTCTAGCTTGTATTTCTTTCCAAATTCTTCACAGAAGTGATTTACTAACACCTCATCAAATTTTCTGCCTCCCAGTGCTGTATCAAAAGCTGTGGCCAAAACCTTAGGGAAAAAAAGATAATCCAACAGTTAACCAATTTCAAAATTTATCATGATACATACACCACACTAAGTTGTTTTTTAGAAAAAAAAATTTTAAACCAGAGAAAGCATATATTACGGGTAAAAATAAGGCCATGTGCCTGTACCACTTAATCCTTGCTAACACTCCAGTATGAAGCAGGCAGTCATTTTGTTAGTGCCCAGCTGGCTACTCTTACAGTGTAGTAAACCTATTTTCTTTCTTTGGGGGGGGGAGCATGGGGCGGTTCCAACACTACATGATGATGAACAGGCTTTGAGAGCAGGGCATGGCAGCTCACCAGTAATCCAAACCCTCAGCAGGCAGAGACAAGAGAACTGCCATGAGCCTGTGCTCCAGAGTTCTGGGCCAATGTCCACTATGTGAGCAAAAATTTCTAGTTCAGGAACTATGTCACACAACAGGTGGCTCCTCCTCCAGTAAAAGCCAGTCGGGACTGTGAGCCCTCCCACCCCACCAATCTGACTCTCAACAGCAATTACAAGCTCAAGGCCACATGCACACTCCTAGTAAGAATACTGTACAAAGTGCTCTAATCAGTTTACTACCCAAAAGATGCAAAGTCTTAAAGCTCAATTTTCTTTGTATGCGACACAGAGTCTAGTAAACTTGAGCTGACAGTTCCCCAAATGTGCAGCAGATTATAAGCAAACTCGATCTAACCTGACTCAGTAAGAAATGCAAACTAAAGTAACATTCTTATGACAGAATAAAACTTGTAAGAACAATCTCTTCAAAGAACATTAAAGGTACTGGAGACATTTTCTTAATATATTAACTGGAAAAAAAGGACACGGAATCGAATATAGTGATTCCAATTTTTCCTCAACTAGAATTTGGGGTTAGGATAAAGCTCTGTGGTAGAACACTGGCCAACTATGCATGAGTTCAAAGCTCAGCACCACAAGAAATAATCTAAAGCCTGGCATGGCATGGCAGTACACATCAAACCCCAGAAGTCAATGGCTGAAGCAGGAGGCTTGCAGTAAGTTTGTGGCCAGCCAAGGTTAGAGAGAGACCCTACCTCAAAATCCAAAATAGAGGTTGAAGAGATGGCTCAGCAGTTCAGAGCACTTAGCGCTCTAAGAGAACTTGGACTCAGTTCCCTGCACAAACATGGTGGGCTCCTATATACCCATGGTACAAACATACCCATGGAGGTACATACACATAAATATTAAAAAAATTTTTTAAATCACAATGAAACAAAACCATGTGAAAATATAAAATGGCTTTGGTTCTCTCCTTCCACCATGTGAGTCCTAGGGATCAAACTCAGGTGGTCAAGCTCGGTGATGAGCTCCAGAGCTCACTCCCCCCACCCCCCCGGGGTCATCTCACCAGCCCTTTCGTTGCTAATGTTCTCTTTTTCACTATGCAGCCCTGTATGGCCTGGGAATTGCCATGTAAACCAAGCCGGGCTCGGTGTATAATACTCAGACCTATAATTTTCCTGGCGTTTTGCCTTCCAAATGCTGGGATTACAGGCATGAGCCACCATGACCCATTTAAAATGGTATTCGATGCCAGGTATGGTGGTGCATGCCTTCAGTCCCAGCACTCGGATCTTTGTGCATTCAAGGCCAACCTGTCTACACAGTGAGTTCCAAGCCAGCTGGGACTATAGGGAGACCCTATCTCAAAAAGACCAAACAAATATATAAAATAGTAGTCAAACACTGCAAATTATGGCTGATGTGTAATTTGTAACTATAAACCTCACAAACATTTCATTTTCCCAACCATATTTAGTTGCTTAAAAAAAGCCAACAGGCCGGGCATTGGTGGCCACACGCCTTTAGGCTCAGAAGGCAGAGGCAAGCAGATCTCTGGGAGCCTGGTCTCCATAGCAAATCCAGGCCAAAACACAAAAATAAATTTAAAAATTTGTTAAAGACCACCATTATGAGAAAGTAAAACAGAGCCATGTCTATTTTTCCTAGAAACAGGAAGGAGTGCAGCAAACTAGAATCTCAAAATACCCTCCAAACTACCTAGTATTTATTTCACCTTGGTTCCTCCCAAAAAGCCCAAAGGCAGTGGGGAGGGGTAACAACTTGGCACCAAGAACCTTGATATGCCACTAACCAACGAAAGCACACAGATAAAATCATGTAGCTAGGGACAATGGCTTCATACTTTACTGGGCAGCCAAATGACATCAGTAAGACCCTGTGGCCCATCCTTGTCTACAGCTGTGCTTATTCCAGAGCTGTAAGCTTTCCGTAAACCTAGACTATCACTTCTGGTCTACTTCTCTTTAGCATCCAAGTTCTAGTCTCAGCCCACTTTGTCCTCAACTCTCCAACCCTCAAGAACCTTTACCATCTTCTCCAACTAGCATAGAACACATCAAGAGATGTGAAGACGCTCCTAAGAAGCCTGCCAGGAAGTGCAGCTTTCCCGGAGTACAAATGAGACGCTGAGACTCAAGGAGCTTGTGAGCATTTTCCTCCAGGTATATGCACTTTGTTTCACTCCACACCAACTCTTAATAAAAATTATTTGGGGTTCACAACCACTTCTCCCAGCATAATACCTACTTTCCAGTTCAGATGGCTCACAGCTTCCATTAGTGAAAGCAAACCCTTTCACTTGACTCTCAGAAATGTTCAGTGATCATACTGGCAATACAATCTTCTAGAAAAAACACTTACTTTCAGTTTTCCTCTGTTGAATGCACAAACAGAAACTTGATAAGCAGAATGTCCCATGTCTACAAAAACTACATTTCTTGGTTTTTCTTCTAAAGCAGGAAGATCTTGCTTATAGATTCCATATGCAAGAGCAACTACATAAGGGAGGAAAAAAACGGTCATTTCAACACGGATTCTCTTAAATACTAAAATGAGTCTTAGTAATAAAAAACAGGCATCTGTCCAAGGAATAGGCTATACCATGTACTGCATTCTAGAGAGGATCAAATTCTTTATAAGCACTAAATTATTCATATGGAACATTAACACGAAAGGGTTCAATGTTGAGTCTTCAAGAGTTCATCAAAAATAGGAATGAAGTAATGCAGTCCCTCTTACCTGCAGTTGTGTCATTCATTAACCGCAAGCAATTGAGGCCCGCTATCTGGGTTGCATCCATCACTGACCGTCTTTCTGCATCAGTATAAAAACAAGGAACCTGAAACAAAAGTAAAAGCTTATAGAGCACGCTGAACTTCATTTTAGTTAATAAAATCTGGGACACTTAGGGGCTGGAGATGGCTCAGCAGTTAAGAGCATTCGTTGCTCTTTCAGAAGACTGGAGTTCAGTTCCCAGCACCCACACTGAGCAGCTCACAATCGCCTGTAAGTCCAGCTCTAGGGGTTCCAACATCGCTTCTAGCTTCCACAGGCACAAGCATATACATGCACATACAAAATAGAAACTTTTAAAAAAACAAAACAAAACAAAAAAACCCCACCTATCTCAAACACCTGCAGCCATTTATGCTGTATCCAATCAAGGGAATATTTCAAACCATTAAAAGTCACAACACTCTCCAGACGTGGTGGTACACACCTTTAGTCCCAGCACTCAGAAGGCAGGGACAGGGTAGCCTGTCTCTGAGTTCCAGACCAGCCTGATCTACATAGTGAGTTCCAGGCTAGCTGGGGCTATAAGACCACCCTCAAACCCACCGCGCCCCAAAAAATGTTACAACACTCAGTAAGTGGTGAAGGATACGTGGACAACTATATATTGGGCTGCATTATGCGACACATTATCACCTAACAGACCACAGTAGCAACAGGAGCTACTATAATAAAAACAAAAAATTGCTACCAAATTATTTCTTGCCTGTCAACTAAGAACTTGAACAGTTCCCTCGAGGTTGGGTGTGGTGGTGACACCAGTAAATCCCAGCCTGTTGGAAACCAGCCTGGGGGGCACAGTGAGAGACTATCTCAAAAAATAAACCTAAAAGGTTAAAGTTAGGCATTGGAGAGATGGCTTGGCAGTTAAGAGCACTGTCTGCTCTTCTAGAGGACCCAGGATGGGTTCCCAGAACCCACAAGTAGGCAACAACCATCCACTAACTCCAGCTCAGGGGAGCCAACACCCTCTTCTGGCCTCGACAGGCACTGCACGACACAAGTCACTTATAAACATGCAGTCGATATATTCATATACATAAATAAATTCCAAAAACATTTTTTAGGTTAAATTAGTAGAAACTTTTCCCCTAACTGATTCGAGTAGCTCAGTGCACTAGTCTGTGATGAAGACCCCTGCTGGCATGGGATTCTAGAATTTTGGCACATGCTGCATACAATACCTATGGGACCAACTTCCAAAGTAGAAGCTGTGGACTTCTAGACACAGGCCAAATATTCCAATGGAAGACAGACTCTCTTGTGTTCTTATACCTCGTTGCTGAGGGAATGAAGCGCACTGTGACTCAACACTGTGCTGAGTTTCCTCCACAAGTTGCTTCACTGCCTTTTCCCTTTGTTGGCTTTGCAGTGCAGCCTCTCACCGCAGGGAATCTTTGCTTTAGAGTGTGACACGCTGAACTCCGGGAACCCTCCCAGAAAAACACAAACTCAGTTGTCTTGAGGGCTTCCAAACAGGACTTACCATACTATCTTTCTTGAGACAGGGTCTCCTTGTAGCCCCAGCCGGCCTAGAAGTAGCTATGTAGACCAGGCTAGCCTCCATCTCACAGAGATCTGCCTGCCTCTGACTTCTGAATACTGGGTTTATTAAAGGAGTGCACTACCACATCTGGCTTCCATCTTTTAATATGGCCCAGGCAAAGTACAAAAAGCTATTCAGACACTCCAGTATCTTACATAAATTTTACTTTAGTCTAATTCAGAATTAAAGGTACTAAATGAGGAAATAAGGTCAAGTCTAGAGACCAGTGGAAAGCTGAGAAAAAGCAGGAAGCACCTAACACATCATGCACCAGGACTGCTGCAACTGAGCCCCTGGAGAAGCACTTCTACTCTTCACACCCTAGCATGGCCCAGCTATTATCCACCTACAAGCGTCAGTGCTATTTTGTAGACAACCAAGGAATCTGCAGAGGGAAAAAAAAACTACCCAACAGGCTGCGCTTTGCTTTTCCAGCATTAAGACAGAATGGCTTAACGCTGCAGCACTAAGATACCAGGTAACTGTGGCCATGAGGACACTAAAGCGGCACACCAATGTAGATCCCATACTTCAACAGTCTGCAGACACTGCCACACAAGCACAAAGCCACCAGCAGCCAAGCTTCCATTTAGAGAATGCGTAAAAGAGAAGAGGGACACCTTTGAGGCAGACATTTACATCAAAAGGGATTCGACTAACTCAAACAGGTGGCTCCTCTGTCCTAGGCACTACTCCAGGTGTTGAAAAAAAGTCGGATCGGAGATGAGCCTTGAAAGATAGACAAGATTTGAAGAGGTGGACGTGGACTAGTGCAGATCTGAGAAAAAGGCAGACAAGGTTAAGAGGATGAATAGGGAGGGGTTGGGGCATTAGCTCTCTGGTAGAGCACATAAACACAAGGCCCCAAGTGCATTTCGTCTCAAGCATAGGGAAGTGCTGGGGGGGTTGGGGGGGTGATGTAGGTCCTTTTCCTATAGTCAAGTATGATCAGGCATGCCTGGAATCCCAGCACTTGGAAGGCAGAGGCAGGAAGATCAACCCCAAGTTTAAGAACAGCCTAGTCTCTAGAGCAAGTCTCAGGCCAGTCAGGAAAGCACAGCAGAATTCTGTCTTTAAAGAAAAAAGCCAGCCAGGCATGGTGGCGCACACCTTTAATCCCAGCACTCGGGAGGCAGAGGCAGGTGGCTCTCTGAGAGTTCGAGGCCAGCCTGGTCCTACATAGTAAGTTCCAGGCCAGACAGGGCTGTATAGTGAGACCCCGTTTTTAAAAAAAAAAAAGGCAGAGAGAAAGAGAAAGAGAAGAGAGAAAAAAGAAACGGAAAAGAAAAGAAAAGAAACTGAAGACCAGGCTGCTGTGCATGGCGTCACGCTGCGCCCAGGCAACCTGGGCCTCAAAAACACCCTGTCTCAAGGAGAATTAGTGATTTCTCAAAATTATCATTACAAAATGAGACAAAAACGTGCAATTAACAGCTTTCTTCTCTTGCTTCTTTAGGTCAGTCCCTAGAAGCAAACAGGGACCAAACTCACCGAAACCACACAGTCAACAACAGGCTTCTTAAGAACACTCTCTGCTGTCTCCTTCAGTTTGGACAAAAGCATGGCGGTCACTTGCTCAGTGGTAAAACTCCGCTCTTCTTCCATGTACATGACCTGCAAGAAAAGGGACAGACAGTTCTACTCGTTTTACTTCATGTCCTAGTCCCAAGAGCCTCAGAGGAACAATGCCCTGTCACTGCCATCTCAACAGAGAACTACAGAAGGCTATTTTTTAAAACAGTATCATTGCCTTAAAGATCGCTTTTTCACTTTAACATGCTTTCAGACATGATACTTAAGTGACAGATGAGCACAGTATAAACAACAAAACTTGCGACAGTAACCTGCACCACAACCAAATTAGTACATCTACTATGGCCCAAACTGCCCCACCAGAACCAAACTGGCATGGCCTGCTACGGCCCAAGCTGCCCTGCCATAAATGGCTGGAACTGGGAACAGTTTTGTCCCCGCACACTATGTGTACTGTACTGTTTACTGTATTTACAGTATCATTCATCTCCCCAAGTAGGATGCCATCTAATCTGAAGACCAGGCTTTCATCTCCTGTGTCCTGGAACCTCGTCAGCCATAGTAAGTATCTATTGGAATAAAGAGTTAAACAATCAACAGATTTCATAGAAAAAAGGTTCAAGATAAAGCCCTACTCTGGACAAGTCTGCAACCCTGATAAGAAGAGCAAGCTGAATGTTCAAACGCTGCCCAGAGTAACTATGCCCTGTGCCCTTAGCCCCATCCTCCAACAAGTATAATCCAGAACAGCTGCTGCTCCCCAACTCAGCTCAGGAGCACCTTCTCCCCACTCCTCTCTGATCATAACTGGTTTAGAGGCTAACATTTCTCATTTTGTTTCACGATGAAGATAGGAAAAGATTTTGTGAATCATCCCCTCTCTACTGACTACCTGCTTAATTCTTGGTCACCCCCCCCCCACCTCGTACGTGGACGTACTAGCTCCCCTAGATCTTCCTTGTCTCTGTCCCTTGACGTCCTACAATCCTTGTGACTCAGCCTGCAGAAATCGTAACCATAACAAGTTCCCACTTCCTCACAATCCCGTCCATCCTCTTTCCCTCTTCAGCACTCCAGACTCATCCCTTACAGTGTCATTCAAATAATTTTGAAATTACTGCCTCAAGTGCCTTAAGTAAACCTGGAGTTTTTCTGTTGTTATTTCTTGATCACATTTATCTGGACCAAGAGTGAGTGCCACAAGTGCACTTGTGGAGGTCAGAAGACACTTTCCAGAGTTTGGTTCTCTCCTTACAGCCTACCCTTTATTTTTACTTTTTTATTTTTTAGGCAGGGTCTCACTATGTAACCCTGGCTGGTCTCAAACTCAAGAGATCAGCCTGTCTCTGCCTCCCAAGAGCTGGGATTAAAAGTGTGCACCACCACACCCGGTCTGCACCAGAACTTTTCACTCCTACTTTAAATCCTCAGGCACAGTGGCAGAACACCTTGTTTTCACATTTCTTGTACTCAAACTTCTCACTATCTGTTTTCTTGTTGGTTTTCTTGTGCACTATACTAGGAACTGAACCCAGGGCCTCATGAACACTAAACAAGTATCCTACCACTGAGTTGTAACCCACCCCATCTGTTGGCCTGAGTCTATTTTCCTAATTTTTATTTCTACAATTGGAGTGTTTCAAATAACACCCCTAGCTGAGCACGGTAGCTCACACCTGTAACCCCAGCACAGGAGAGTCCAAAGCCACCTGGCTACAGAGTAAGACCTTGTCTCAAAAAAAAAAGCCAGGGATACAGCATGTCTTAAATCCCAACACTCAAGATGACAAAGGCAGATGGATCTCTGTGAGATCAAGGCCAACCTGGTCTACACAGTTGAATTCCGGGCCAGCTTGGGATTAAAGGGAAACCCTTTCTCAAAAGACAAAAAAAAAAAAAAAAACCTAAATCTTGTGGTTCACACCTTTAATTCCAGAACTTGGAAGGTAGATCTCTGTGGGTCTGAGGACAGCTTGCTCTACAGTGATCTCAGGCCCAGTCAGGAACACATAGTGAGACCAGCAGTGCTGGTCTTGGTGGCGTGAGCCATTAATTCTAGGCCTCGGGAGGCAGAGGCAGGTAGATCTCTACGAGATCAAGGCCACCCTGGTTCTGGGCGGAGACCCTGTCTAAAAACAATCAATAAAAACCAACAACAAATCAAATACCAAATCTGACTCTAAAGTCACTTGCCTGGATTCCTCTTCTTCCTCTGAATATGAGAGACAGGGCTGTCCACCTTACCTGCCTCCTACTCTGCTTTTGTGTGACTATATCATAACTGCTTCACAGAAAGACTTCTCTACATGTCCCCAAGACAAAGATCAAGCTCACTCTTCCCTGGAATATCTCTCCAAGCTAGGTCAGTTCTGCTACCAAGACTATACAGCCAGACATCAGACTAATGATTTGACATGTTGGCTCCTTAGCCTGTTCTTCCACAAGTGATTTTTCTAAAATTCACCCAAAATGGCAGCTTCCTCCACGAACAATACAAAGGGCAACGATCAAGTTAGTACCATCACTCCCCAAGCCTCCAGTGCATAGTAACAGCACCATTAAAGGCTTCCAAACTAACAAGATAATAAAAAATGCCAGTTTACCAGCAAGACTTGTTCCTAAATACTTCATTACAGCTTACATCACAACAAAACTGATAGACAGTGAGCTGATAAAAAGCAGCCTGTTAGATGGCCTCCTATTTCTCTGGAAGACAAGCCCAAATAAACTCCTTCTATTAAAAAAAAAAAAAAAAAAAAAGAAGCAACCTTTTAATCATGAAGCAGTATCTTTGAGAACCTTACCTTTATACCTGTTAATCCAGTGGGTAATTGCACAATATCATATGCAAGATTAGATTTTTCTGCTTCCACAAATGGGTCAGAGAATGCTCGCCCATGGAATCTTTTAAACCCTTGGACTGTGTTCTTTGCATTGGAGATGACCTAAGAGAAAGAGTAGAAAGATTTGGTTTCTCAACACCCATCAGCCAAAATCAGCGAGTACCCCCACACCCCGTCTTTCTCTCTTTTTTTTTTTTTTTGGTCTTTTTGAGACGGGGTCTCCCTGTAACCCTAGCTGGCCTGGATTCGCTATGGAGACCAGGCTGGCCTTGAACTCAGAGATCCGCCTGCCTCTGCCTCCCAAGTGCTAGGACTAAAGGCGTGCGCCACCACGCCCAGCTTCTCTTTTTTGAAGACAGAATCTCACTATGTAGCCCAGGCTAGTCTGAAACTCACTATGTAGACCACAGTGGCCTTGAGCTCACAGATCTGCCTGTCTACGAAGTGTGGGATTAAAGGTGTGTGCCACATCCTTGTGTGTGCTTTATCTGCATATATGTAAGTGTGCCACCTGCAAGCAATGAATGCCAAAAGAGGATGTTGGATCCCCTGGAACTGCAGTTCCAGATGATGTTAGCCACCATGTGGGTGCTAGAAACTGAACCTGTGTCTTCTACAAGAGCAGCCAGTGTTCTTAATCACTGAGTCATCTCTCCAGCCCCACAATATTCTTTTAAGATCACAAAATCTCGTTCCTAGAGCCAGGCATTCTCTGGAACACAAAATAATCCCAGCACTCAGCAGGCTAAGGCAGAAGGATTTCCACAAGTTCCAGGCCAACCTGGGCCTCAGAATTAAGACACTGTCTCAGAAACAAAAAGGCCTTTGAGCAAATGCTGTCCCTCAGCTCACTACCCCACTCCCATTCTCAGGAGTGTCTTCCCTTTCTTAAGAAACTGTCTTTCTATTCCTAACCATGTAGCCCCTGGTCCAATTCACTGCCCCTAGCATTCAAGAACCTCCATACTTCCTTCATTTATCAGTGTAATATATCTTTTAGTAACAAAGTTATAAATGCTATATATATAAAAAAAAAAACCATAAGAGGTTAATAAAATGGAACAATGAAGTATCCTTCTCAACTTCAGTTTTCTTTAGACCCTTAGCCTTTCTGAGCCAGGTAAAACCAGAACAAGAGACCTGCAATGACACAGCTCAAACAGTCCAGCACTTTCTTCTCCTCCATCAAGACAGGTCATTACATTTACAACAACGTAACACGGGCAATTCTAAACAAATATTTAAATAAAATGACCATCAGCTTATAAAAATTGCCCAGTTACCTGGGCATAGTGGCACACAAAGGTAGGTGGATCTCTGAGTTCCAAGCCAGCCTGGTCTACATGTCAAGTTCTAGGCCAACTAGTTATATACTGAGACCCTGCCTTTAAAAAAAGAAATTATCCATAGTTTATGGCTCAAACTTTCTAGGAACAAATTCATCAATACCTACTAATAAAGAAATTCTAATTAAAGAAGGAATTTCCCATAGGGCTGGAGATATAGGGGTAGACCACTTACTGCGTATGTGCATGGTCCTGGATTGATTCAACCCCAACACACACCACACAAACACACTCACATACATGCCCCAGAAAGGAAAAACTATTACAAAATACACAAAAGATAAATACAAAGGGATATTTGAAGAAGTGTTATTTGTAACAATTCTTTAAACAATAGAAAAGAGAAACCATAGCCATGTCCACATAATGAAATCGATGTAAGAGGTAATACTTTTTAAGCAGGAAGGTAAGTTTCTGTGTAGCATAATCTCAATGGGAAAAAACATTTAGATGCTTAGAAAGAGCACAAATGATTATTAAACAGTAACAATGGAGCCGGGATGTAGCTCAGTGGTAGAGTATACACAGCAAGCACAGGGTTCTAGGCTCAAAATAAAAATATTAGCAGTGATGTCTTAGGGGTTGACAGGTGATTCCAAATTTCCTACACTTTTCTAACTACCTGTTCCAATTCCCTTAGAATAAGCTGTAACTACTCATGGGGAAAATACTGGCATGTATTTTTTAGCTTCCATGATAAACTTGTGCTCCTACTCACAGCACATATGTAAAGAAGCCCTCTCAAGCACTACAGAATTCCCCTGTCTCAGCAAGATCAAACAAGTGAGGCCTCTACAATCAGGTCCTGCTTGAGCAGTACTGAGGAGAGACTATCACAACTAATTTGTCAGTAAAGAACCAACCAAGCAGTCGGGTTAATACAGTAATTATTCTCAAGAGAGAAAGCAAATTCACTGTATCGTCTAAAGGAAAGATGTCTAGCCGGATGTGGTAGCACACGCCTTTAATCCTAGCATTCGAATCCCTTGGAACTGGAATTATGGACAGTTGTTAGCTGCTATGTGGCTGCTGGGAATTGAACCCAGGTCCTCTGTAAGAGCAACCAATGGTCTTAACTGCTAAGCCATCTCTCCAGCCTAGTATTTTTTATTTATTTGCAGAATTTTCAAAACCATTTAGGAGGCCATCAATAGCAAACTTAGGTCTGTTAGCAAACTTTTTTTTTTTTTTTTTTTTTTTTGGTCTTTTTGAGACAGGGTTTCCCTATAGCCTGGTACTATGCAGACCACGCTGTTCTTGAACTCAGAGATCTATCTGCCTCTGCCTCCAAAGTACTGGGATTAAAGATGTGCACTACCACGCCATGCCCAGGCCCCATCTTACCTTTTCAGACAAGCACTTTACCAACTGTGCAGTCTCCCCAGGCCTAGCATTTTTTTAGGCTCATAAATTTTAGGTCCTGTCTGGTCCAGAAAGTGTTATGCACTGAATTTGTTGCCTCAGTTTGAACCGTAACATGCATCTCCTTAACTTTATAGATACTCAGGACATTTGGAATAACTATTCTTGAGGCTTTTTTGTTGTTCTGGTTACTCAGAAACCAGAAAATATGCCAAAAGCCTGGTTGATAAAGAAAATGCCAAGTCTTTAATGTGCCTCTTAAGGTGCATTTTCCTTTCTTTCCTAAGGAACTTGATTAACAGTAACTTTAAATTTGAGCAAAATGATAGGCCATCAGAATAGACTTTAAATATTAGAATTAAGTAAGTCTGTTGCTTTGAAAAGATCTGAGCTGGCTAGGGTGTGCTGGCACAAGCACATATCCCAGGACCTGGGAGGCTAAGGCATGAGGATCAGGAGTTCAAGGCCAGCTGAGCTACAAAGGAAGTTCTAGGGCAACCTGGCATACATAAAGATCCTGCCTAAAAATACTAATAAAAATTAATTCTGGGTAAAAACACATAGTATGAATTTACTGTTTTAAAGCCTCTCAACTCTCACGTGCACAAAACAAGGACTGGTGCTAAATGAAGAAGTGGACGAAACAGGAAAACCAGTCGTTCTAGGAAAAAAAAAAAAAAAAAAAAAAGCACTGTACCTGACTTTTAGCTGCTGCTCCAATTGAACGATTCTTAGGACCAAAAGAAATACAAGCCCTGAAAGATAAAAAGATTTAAGAATTAAACTTTAGTACAATAATACATTCTAAACCATAGCAGGAAAGAATTGAGTATTCACATATTTTGATTTTTTTTTTTTATATACATAAGTCTTTTGCCTGTGTTACAATGGCCAGGGAGGCTGGCTGGAAGAGGGCACTGGATCCCCTGGAACAGGAGTTACTGATGGTTGTTAGCTACCATGTGGGTACCGTGACTAAGCCTGGGTTCTCTGAATCACTGAGCCATCTTTCCAGCTCTGAAAGCCATATGATTATGTCTTGTCTTTTTTTTTTTTTTGAGACGGGGGGCTCTCAGTATGTAGCTTGGGTTAAATTCCTTTAAAAAGCAGGTGCCAGAGCTACAGCAAGCTAGCTCAGCAGTTAAGAGCAATGGCTGCTCTTGCAGAGGACTAGGGTTTGGTTCCCAGAACCCATACAGCAGTTCACAATGTAATTCCAGTTCCAGCACCCTCTTCTGGCCTCTGAAGACACTGCACATATGTGGTACAGTTACACACATGCAGGCAAAACACTCATACACATAAAAAAAACTTGTTTTTTTAAAAAAGCAGATTCCAAGCTCAAAAAATGCTACCTATTACTAAAATTAGTAAGATCTCCTAAACACTTCTTAAATGGAACTCCCATCGAAACCCATACTGCCCTTTAGGAAACTGCCTAAGCAATCTTACGTACTCTACTCCCATTCCACAAGAGGCTGCCTAACCTACTACTAACCTACTAAGCCCTAAGCCTCCATCTTTCTATAGGCCACCAAATCAGAATTTCTGAGGCATATACCACCAAGACCTCAACTCCAGCAAAGGGCAATGCTATTCATCTCCCACATTCCCTGCAGCCCTTTATTCAAATTTTAACCTCAAAAGTATTAAGCCAGGTGCAGGGGTGGTGAGGATATGAGTGTGACCAGAGTGCTTTCTGTACCTATATGAGAATGTCAAACTGCAGAAATGGCTCAGGAGCACTAGCTGACTTTGCAGAGGACCAGTGTTCAGTTCCCAGCACACAGGGTGACTTAACCACCATCCTCCACTCCAGCTCCAGGGGATCTGACTTTTCTGAACTCTACAGGCATTGCATGCCCATAGTGCACTTACACACATGCACACAAAACATCAATACACATAATATAAAAATTTTATAAAAACAAAATGTCGAAGAATAAGTGAGCTGAGGGATACAGCTCAGCAGTAAGGAGAACGATCAGCCAGCACACATGAGGTCCCAGGGTCCACCTCTGCGGCCATCATGCTGCAGGTGCACTGGCAGCACTTTAAAAAGCATGAGGAGACAGCACTCCTTTCAGTGTAAAGGCACCTGCCACCAAACCTGATGACCTGAGTTCAATCTCCAGGACCTACAAGGTGGAAGGATAGAACTGATCCCACAAGTCATCCTGATGTCCACATGTGCATTGCAGCACGCACACCCACGCTCCCTAAATAAACATAACTTTTTAAAAAATGTTTTTAAGCAGGTGAAGATAACCTGCCAACTCCAGCTCCAGGGAATCTAACGCCCTCTTCTGGGTGCCAAGGGCACCTGAACACAAATGGCAAATACACACGCACAAGATTAAAAATAAATCTTTTAAAAATATTTATTATTATTTTGTATGAGTGCATTGTCTGCTTGTGTGTAAGTGCACCTGTGCTGTGCAATGCCAGAAGAAGCCAGAAGAAAGCATCAGATCCCCTAGAACTGGGGTTAGGAACAGTTGTTAACGGCCATGGTGGCACTGAGCATCAAACCCAAGTCCTCTACGAGAGCAGTGTTCTTAACCACTGAGCCATCTCTCCAGCCCTAAAAATAAATCATTTAGCTGGATGTGGTGGCATACATCTATAATCCCAGCACCTAGGAGGCAGACGCAGGCAGATCTCGTCTTATGGACAAGGCCAGCCTGGTCTACATAGTAAGCCCCAGGCCAGCTGGGGCTACAGGGAGATCCTGTCTCAAAAAGGCCAAATAAATAAATCTTTTAATGTCTTTCACATTTTAAGTTATTCGACCTTCTGTTTCGGTGTATGCATACACACAATGCAAACAGTCCCCAACCTCTTAAAAAGCAATCAGATATCACCAATGACACTCCAATCTGTGCCACGTAGTACAGTTAATTAAACCTAAAGTCTGAACTCTTGTGAGAACATTTCACACAACCCTCACTGTATCCCATAAAATCAACACAGTATTGCTGTAATGGTGCTCACATTCCAGAGTTCTGTAACAAGGCAACTACTAAACTTGAAAAGCAAATCCGTAACTTTCTGACTTTGCTATTAGTCTGGATGATAGGAACAAAGAGCTGAGGCTCTACCATCAGGTGGGCTCCTGTCCGCTGCTTCTGACAAAAGGCTCATCTCTGAAATGGGGGTTGTCCTTTCCCAGCACCTAGCTCACAGCACTGCTGAAGTTAAATCAGATTACCCACTTCCAAAGGGTGCATGTCAGAGACTGGCACACCACAGTAACATTAGCTGTAAAGCTTCAACAGAGCCACTGACCAGGTTTCATATATAAAAACGAGGCACCCATCTTTAAAATTATCTCACTTGATAGTCCCAAATACTGTGAAAAGAACTATTATTGACCCAATTTTTAATAAGTTCTCAGACACAGCTGGTAAATATTAATAAGCTCCAGAGAGCACCAAACTCCAAACATGCACCTACACCTTCCTCTGTCTTTCCAGACCTGCTCAATTCATCCCCTTCACCTCCACTCAGGCCACCCCACTCCCCTCTTCCAGGTACTCCAATCCTCTTGCTCTGGCTTCTCCCCATCTCACCCTCTGATGTGTTTCTCTGGGCATACAAACTTTTCAAGTCTGTACTGCACCCTGTCCATAACTGCACCCTCGCTGTTTAGTGTGGCTTCATGTACTCACACCTCTGGAAGGGAAGAGTGTCTCAACCTTGTCAATGCTGTGCCCACCCAGGAGTACTCACACGATCACTGCCTTCTGACAGTACTTTTCCTCCATTCCAAACTGCATGCCAACATTATAGGAAGCTAGCTCAAATATAAGCTCAAGATCCCTCTGTTCTATCCTTTTTCAGCCAGAACAGCGTTGCAGCTTTTCTGGGTAAGAGATGTTACTGGCCAAATATTTATGCATTCCAGCAGGCTGTTATGACTAGCTCCAGTCAGAGGTACTGAAGGATAGCTTCATGTCTGTACATGCAGACCAACACTGCAGAGTAGCACATTAAGAAAATGCTGCTTGGGGCTGGAGACATGGCTCAGCAGTTAAGAATACTGACTATTCTTGCAGAAGTCCCAGGTTTGAATCCCAGCACCCACATGGCAGTTAACAACTGTCTGTAACTCCAGTCCCAGGGGATCTGACAGCCTCTTCTGTCCTCCACGCACACTGCACGACACGGGTGCACTTACCTACATGCAGGCATAATACACACATAAAATAAAAATAATAAAAGACTTTAAAAATTAAAAATCTATAAAGGGTACACAAATTTCCACAGAATTCATTTTAGAACCCTTATAATCCAGTTAATAGAGCATTAAAAATTCTAAGAGGTCAAGGATGGTAGCTTAAGCCTGTAACCTCAGGGCTCAGCTGGGTACAACGGGGGGGGGGGATATTTTAAAAAAAATCTATTAGCAAATAGTCTGGGACTGTTATTCTAAGCACTAACTTAAGAAAAAGCCTGAGTGTGCTAGTGCCTGCCTGTAATCCCAGTACTTGGGAGATAGGAGTTCAAGGTCATCCTTGGCTACATAGCAAGTTCTGAGACCAGCCAAGAAAAAGAGGAAAGGCAGGAATTATTACAGATTTTATCTCAAATCTTTGTAACCTCCAATGGGATGAAAAAAAATCACTTATGTTCCTAAAACAAATTAATCCTTTACATTTTAGAAAATATTCTGGAATCATAGTGAAACTTTTACGTTCACTTCTGGAACTCTATCTGCAAAAAAATAAAACAGCAAGGCATGGTGGTTCACAGCTATAATCCAAGCACTCAGAAGGTTGAGTCTTGTTAAGAGGTCAGCCTGGGCTAGAGTAAGTTCCAGATGAGACTAAGCTTCAGAATGAGATCCAGACTCCTACCCTACCCCCAAATTAGATCACCTTTGGAAACAAAGCGTTACAGCCATAATATGAATACAGGTTTAAAGTGTCAAATTCATGTAGCCTGATGTGGTAGCACAGGCCTTTAATCCCAGCACTCAGGAGGCAGAGGTTGGTAGACCTCTCTAAGTACAAGGCCAGCCTGGTCTACAGAGCAAGTTCCAGGTCAGCTGGGGACACAGACCCTGTCTCAGACAAAAAAAGAAAAAAAAAAAAAAAAAAAAAAAAAAAAAAAAGAAATATAAGTCAAAGTTCTAGGGCTGAACATGGAATACAGGTGCCTAGCATGGGCATTCAAGTCCCAGATCAAAGCAAGAAAAAGGGAAACGACAAAATATAGGATGATCCTATGCATCTCAGGGGACAATCACAGAGACACACCTGCAGAAGCCAAGAAAAGGGACAGAACAATACAAAGCAACCAACAAGCAGTTGTGGAAACAGTATTACCTTATGGTAGTTAGTGTTTTTACTGCACACAAAGCATTTTATTAACCCAGAAAAAAAGTTTAAGAAAACTGAAGCCTGGGGGACTGGCAAAATGGCTCAGCCCTTAAGAGTACTGGCTGTTCTTGCAGAGGACTGGGGTTCAGTGCCCAGTACCCACATGGTACATAACAGCAGTCTATGACTCTTGTTCCAAGGGATCCAACACCCTCTTCTGACCTCCCTGGGCACAGCATAGACAGGTGCAGTTACATACAGACATGAAAAACACTCTGAAACAAATTTAAGAAAACCTAAATCCAGCTTGGTGGCCCATACCTCTAATCCCAGCACTTGAGGGGTAGAGGCAAGAGGATCCGGAGTTCACAGTCAAACTTGGGTACCTAGTAAGTAGAGGCCAGCCTAGGCAACAAAAGACCCTCCTTTTA